TCAAGGAGAATATCATACGGCTCGTCTTCGAGTTGTTCAGTATAAGACTATTGTTCCGAAACCAGTTTTCAGCCCTCGACTGTGCCCCACAGACCTCATCCATTAAACTTGCCAGGTCAGAATCCCTAACGGAAATTGTGGTGTCATCAGCGAACAGGACATATCGTTCTGTATTGCCTATACAAGGTAAGTTGTTAATGTAAATAAGGAAAAGAAGTGGTCCCAGTATGGACCCCTGGGGAACTCCTATATCGACTACTCCTATCCCTGACGACACCCCATCAACCACTACTCTTTGGACTCTATTTTTCAAATATGAATTTATGAGTTCAATGCTATTTACATTGAACCCATAGTACTTCAGCTTTCTGATGAGCAGTTCATGTGACATACAGTCAAATGCCTTACTAAGATCACAGAAAACAATGCCAGTATGTTCTCTGTTTTCAAAACCATCCATTATGAAGGCAACCAAGTTTAATATGCCGAGCACGGTACTGCGACCGCCGCGGAACCCAAACTGTTGTTCGCTAAGCATTAAATTTCTCTCCAGATACTCAGTCATCTGCACAGCCATACATTTTTCTATTATTTTTGAAAATATTGGAAGTAAGGAAATTGGCCTGTAATTTGAAACTTCCTCCCTATCACCCTTTTTGAATATCGGAATGACAATGGCCTCTTTAAGGCAATCTGGAAAACAATTTTCTTTTAGACACATGTTGATTATTTTTGTCAAGGGGATAACAATTTGCTCACACACAACTTTAACAATTCCAACATTCAAACCAAATACATCTCTAGAATTTTTATTTTTTAGAGATCTAATTATATCTCTAACCTGAATGATGCTCACTTCTCTAAAAGAGAAAGTTGCATTTAGGTCCCAGTGAGACTGAAATGGGACATCCTCCGTTGAGTGTTTTACATCATGAAGTAAGATATTAGCAGTATTGGAAAAGTAGTGATTGAACTGATCTGGACTTACACTTGTTGCCAAATCATCTACGCATTTTTTTGAAGTGGTTCTGTTGTCATTTATAATGTTCCAAATGGTTTTTGATTTGTTTTCTGAATTGCTGATACATCGATCATTATATGCCCTTTTGGTTTCTTTTATAGCTCTTTTATACTGCTTTCCATAATTTTTCTTTTGCAGTAATAGTTCCACTGAGGGATATTGATTATATAATTCTTGCAAGTAATGCAAATGGTTACGCATTTCCTGCAATTCCCTGCTAAACCAGGGAAGCAATTTTTTTGAATTTTTTATTGTGTATGTTTTCTCTGGGAAAGAACATTCAAATAACTCTTGGACTTGTTTACAAAACAAATAACATTTCCTATTAATGTCCATGTCATTGTCAGATAGGAAGTCCCAGTGGCAATCTTGCACTAGGTTATAAAATTCAAATTTAGCTTTCTCTGTTATAGGTCTACATTTTTTACTGGTTTGTTTATTGTTTTTTATGATGGTTTTTGAAAAATGTAAGTTAATGCAATTATGATCTGAAAGACCATTGTTCATTACATTTATTTCAGATATACCTAGATCAAAATTGACGAATATATTATCAAGACAATTTCCCTGGCGTGTTGCAGACTGCACCATTGCCTGAAAGCCGTAGGTTTCCAGCATGTCACATAAAGATGTTGACTCACCCTGTTCTTTACCAAAGTGCACATTAAAATCTCCTACTAGAATAATGTCTCTCTGATATCCCACGCCATCTATAGCCTTGGAGAGGTGTAACATGAAGACATTAAAATCACCTGTTGGTGGTCTGTAAATAGAAATTATAAAGATATTAAGGTTATTCAAAAATATGCAGGCCAATTCAATACACTTTTCTACTGATATATTATTAATTTTTGAGATGTTACTATGTTTAAGGGAATTTTTCACGAGGATTGCTGTTCCTCCCCCTTTTGAAACCTTTCGAGAGAATTCTGAAACGACTGCATATCCTGATATACATAAGTCTGTGGCTTCTTCTACAGTCAGCCAATGTTCGGTGAGACATAACACAGAAAAGTCTTTGTCACAAATATATGCTTGAAGTACATCCTGTTTGTTTCTTATTGACCTAACATTTTGATAAAATAGTCGAAATTCATCCAATTTTTCAACTTCTATTGGTGCTGGACCACTCTGATGTTTGGGTGCCCCTTTTCCAATACTAGATGAGATTTGTAGTTTTATACTTGAGGATCCAACTGTGTGGTTGCCATCCTTCTCTTCCGAAAAAAAGACACCAGTGCTCCACTAGGCCAGATTTCCCTTTTCCAAGCCGTCTTCAATAGTTCGCGATTTATACACACCTTCATGGAAGCATATAAGTCAGGCATTTTCGATTGATGTATTTCACAGCTCACGCCTTCTAAACTGGTTTCCAAAAACTTTTCGAGTTCCTCAGGCTTGGTTCCTGGCTTGAGCCTTGTCACATGAAGGTTAACCATTTTAGGAACAGTTTCGACATTGCAAGGTGTTTCAGATTTCCCTACAAGAAATTTTCTTTTTTTCCTAGGATTTACTTGGGACCATGCACCCTCGGGAACATGTGCAGATTCATTTTCAGAATTTTCCTCAATATGTATTAAGTTATTAAAAACAGTTCTAGATTTGGCTTCCAGTACTGCTTCACTAACTTCTTTGGATGATATAATCGGTCGACTTTCATTATTTATTTCCTTTTTATTTTTGTTTTTCTGAATAACAGCTGCAAAACTTGTTGACACTGATGGACCCTGTCCCTGTGTACTTTGCATCCCGGTAGACGGCTGAGTAGCCACTGCCGTCACACCTTTCTTATCATTGTTTTGCTTATTAGTTACTGACCAGTTTTTTCTACTGTCAACTTTATTGATATCTACGCTTGTTTGGATTGCGGCTTCGTACTTAATTTCTAAATCAGCATTTTTCGATTTTTGTAATTTCAAGTCACTCTCTAATCTTTTAACTTTCTCTTGTAGCAAACTGTTAGAAATCTGTTGTTCATTTACTAACATTTTTAAATAAGTTAAAATTTCGTTATCTGTACCTGTTGTTTTTGTTTCCAGGTCATCACATGATTGCGGAAGTTTTTGATTATCACAGCAAATTATTTTTGCACTTATTCTTTGACCACATGATGGGTGGTAGATTGAGTCACAATTTATGCACTTGAGACCGTTAGCTACGACTTTTTTACAATATTTGCAGTCTCTGTGATCATTCGCGTCCGACTCAGTCGGCGCCATCTTGCTTATATACTTATATACTTATGATGCTTTGAGAAGATGTCCTAAACTTAGTACATATACATCAAATATCATTCTCTATTCACATATACTCAGTCGAATTAACTATCTCATAAATATTTGGGGATCTTGTTCCAAAAATAGTTTCAACAAAATTTCTGTTCTATATAAAAAGGCATTGAAAGTATTGTATCGTCTTCCATATGACACTCCAACGAATCAACTGTATAAGGAAACAAACACATTTTCTTTGGAAGAGCACTTTTTAATCAATACTCTCAAAATTTCCTATTATATCATCACAAAAAGCTTAAATCAAATTTTATATTAATCAGGAATTCTGAAATTCATGATCATCACACTAGACAATATAACTTGTTTCATCTTGAAGCTGCAAATTCTAAACTTGGGCAAAAAAAGTTTACACATGAGGCGATTTCGAAATTCAATAAATTACCAGATGATATCAAAAACAGCCCAAATATTATGCAATTCAAAAATAAAGTTAAGAAATATATTTATATGCAAAGGAATGATCAAAGCTGAAAGACCATGAATTTCCTTTTTTCATTTTTTTTTCACTGTTTTTATTTTTCCCCTTCTCGTTCACTATAATATGACTGTATCTTAATGATATGTAAGTTTTGTTCACTATTTGTAATTTCAATTATACAACAGTCGATAATACTTCATGAATGATCTTATACCAGGAATTACTGTCTGATCATTCATGTCATTCCTACTAGAAAATTAATTATACTTTATATATTATTCGTATGAAATGTATCAATGAAGAAAAGAATGTAATGCAATAACTGAAATAAATAAATAAATAAACCTCACTAATTTATTTGGTTACAGAGGAATCAAAGGATTGAAATAGTTTTTCACAATATTATTGCAAACGAATCGTGTTTTTTGCGCTATACATTAATTCAAGCATGTCTGTTGTACAATGCACAAAAAATGCAGCGAGAGACGAAGGAATATGATTTTTCAGGTAAATAGTAATCTCACATAGTTATCATTATGAAATGTTGTCATTCCTTATTAAAATTCCTTCTGCCACTTCTGCAATACAAGCTAAAACTGCTGATAGATTGAAAATGTCTACAACACACACGATATTTCGTCAGCATGTCAGACCAGTCCTCCCGTTTGCTTGCATGAATCCAATCTTCTTGCATTATTTTAAAAATTTCATGTGTATTTCTATTAGCTCCTATTGCAGAAGGAATTCCGATGAGAAATCAGAGAAATTACCAAATTTCAAAAATGAAAACTTTATGTGAGTGACTATAGTAGGTACTTACTTTCAAATCATAATGTACCAACAGGATTCCTTCGTCTACTGCTCCAGTTTTCGTGCATTGTAAAACAGCACAATGTGATGGCATGAGCGAATTAAAGAATAGCCGAAAAATACGATTCCTATGCCAAAATAATTGTGAAAAACTGTTTCAATCACTTGTAAAGTTCTTGCACGCAACCCATAAGATTTGAAGTGCATTTTGAAATGTTTCATCGTTCATGCCATCTGTTATCAAATATCGAAACCTCACGCTTTGATTGTTTATATCAAGATTTAGTCTGGCAAGACAATTGAAGAGTGGGCCCACCAGCAATTATAAACATCTCATTTCAACGTAAGAATGAATAATTTTTGCTTTGGTTTATGAGTTTTGGGCTTTGTGGCTCTAGTAGCCACAGGTAAAGAAGTTGGACAATAAAATTGGTAATACTGCTATTTGAATTCAAAGGCTGTTCGATGCTCTGCTCACGTTTTACATAAACAATCCGGAGGAACTCGAATTGAGGAAGAGGCCTCGCTTGGACTCTAACAGGAACACCATCCATCGGGAGGATTCCAAAGACAGCGTCGCCAGTTCCGATAGCAGCAGTTCGTGGCATAAAAAAAGTGAGTGAGATGATATTTCGGTTACAAAGTCATAAGCGTTGACTCTTTCTATTGTCAGACAATCACCCCACCCTGAATGTCCCAAAAAATATTTCAAAAATCAACTTGTGAAACATTGTTCCAATAAAAAAGGCTGAATATACAAGGTGAGGCATTTTTGTTAAGGGGAATGTGAAAATCATTGAAATATGCCGCCTCAATGAAAGCATACTAACGGAAATTTATCAATTGAACATTCCATACATTTCCATGCAATAGTTTTTTCTGTGCATTGTCAAAAAATGGATCATGTTCACGATAATAATTAACTTTTTTACATGCTTTTGATGGTGAGTGTCACCAAAGTGCAGCTGTGTCGTTTGTACACTGAAAGATTTTCGATGAGAAATTATCCATCACCGCTAATGTTCGTTAATAACAAACATGTTGTGATACAGGGTGTTGATTTTTTTTGTAGATTCGAGCAATCCGAACATCGATATTATCGATGAAGGTCTGCGAAAAAGCGTCGAACTCATTGAAAATTGCATAACGACGAACGGTCTCTACAAAAAATCCGGCTCGCTGGAAAGGACGAACAAGATTGTGAAGAAAATGACGAAGAAAAAGACAGCGGAAATGGAAAAATACAAACATGACGTCTACGAGTTGACTGACTCTTTGAAGAAATATATGAGGGAAGTTCACGAACCGCTAGTGACCAAAGAAGCTGTCGAGCATATTAATAAACTCTGTGGTAAGGATTTTGATGAATATTTCAGATTACAGTTCTTTCAATCATGAGAATTTTCAAAATCACGATTATTAAACATATGATTCTAATAAACGCGGATATATATTATACACATCAACATACATTCCTTTCTCAGTGAAATTGGCCCAAATATCAAGACAACATTTCTTATGAAATTTGTCATAATAGCAAAAAAGTATTAGAAACTTAAATATATTTCTGATAACATAAGATATTTTTATCTTTGGTAGAAGTTCATATTGCTCAAAATGGAGTGAAATATTTCACAGGAAGGAAGGAATGCTCAAAGTCATCTCCACAAATTTTAATGATATTATTACTAAATCATGAGGGACATGTTTCGGTCTTATAAAAGACCATCTTCAGCCTAATTTGGTTAGAAAACACTGAAAATTATGTCAAAGACATGGACAAGTCGTTGACATAGTCAATGTCAAGGGATAAAACATGAAAATCTGACCATGAGCATAGGCATATAACAATATCTATTACAACTATTGGAGAATGTGAATTTAGGAGGAGGGATGCATGTAGGAGAGAGTTGAGCAAACCTGAAAAATCATTGACTATGAAATATCATAAAATCAGTTGAGACCAAGGTAGGTGAACTATCAGTGATTAAAATCCAAAGCATTGAAAAATTTTATACAATCAAAATGTGTTTGCTGATAAAGAGACAAGACAAACCACATCCTAAATTCACAACATAGTTTTGATCCAAATCAGGACCTTAAAATTCTACATGTCTGTCCAAAAGGTAGGTTACTGAATTTACTGGAAATTTGCGAAATTAATTCTTCCTTGAATAATAATTCTGTCCTGTCGAGAAAAACTCTTTAGCAATTTTTTCCTGAATCCAGTTGTTTCCGTCACCAAATGACTGGATTATTAGTGTAGATTAATTCTTCATTTTGACTATAGATAATACTCGCTGTCTGGATGACTCCACTCGGCACATGGTCGCCTCGATCGTCATGGACCTGCCGAAGCGTTGCAGCCTCGTCTTCGTCGTCAAGCACCTGATCAAGGTGATCAAGAACGAGCCGGCGCACCGGGTGCCCAGGGCCGAGATGATCGCCATCTGGTCGGAGGTGCTGAACGACCGGCACGACCAGCGGCCGGTCCTGGAGGCGCGTAGCGAGTTCGACCGGTTCCTCGCGATTCTCGTCGATGTTTTCGACGACACGAAGGTGAGTGTTATCTCAGACTATAGGCCTGTTCGTTTGTGCTTGCTCAACCTGCTGAATTTTTTTCTATGACTTTCTTTGTTTAGAATAGAATAGAATAGAATAGAATAATGTTTATTCGCAATGTATAAGAAGTGTTATGTTATATACAAACCTAATGGTGAACATACATATATATAAAATTGAGGTAAGAGTAATTATACAAATACAATACTGAAACGAAAATGATAATTGAAAATTGGAAGTGAACATTAGCAGAATAAACATGACAATCACAGAAGCTGTAGGCCAGCTTGTACTTGATATAGAAATGCATAGTATGCCGTATTCGATCTTGTATGTTATTTCTGATACAATCAAAATTACCACAACAACAAATGAGTTAGTTAACATAATACTGATTAAAAAAACACGAGAATAATGGACTACAACAAATTGAATTAGGTATACCGAGTATTAGAAATATCAAACATTTGATGTAAGTTTTGTATATATAGATCTCACAGGTAAGAAGATTTATATTTCATACTATTTTCAAAACAGAATTAGATATAATTATTATTGACAATGTTGCTGATTATTGACCTTTCAATATTTTGTAGCCATTGCTTAATTTTACGTTTGAAAAATCCATGATTTTTTATAGTTCTGAGTTGAATGGGTATGTAATTGAATAATTTTGCACTTAGAAAAATGAAGCTTCTTTGACCAATACTCTTTTCACATTGGGGAATTTTGACACTTCGTTGTCTTTGACGTGTGTCGTAATCATGTTCGACAGGGTGGAGTTTTATTTTCTTAGAATGTGAATCATTTAAGATTTTTTGGCAGTATAGCTGCCGAATATCCAATATTTTACTATCTTTGTATAATTCATCGCTAGACGAAGTTCTCTTTTTTCGGTATATTAGTCTCAATATCCATTTTTGTAGTACATTTACCTTATTCAAATGAATGTCATTTACTCCCCCCCATCCAATGATTCCATAGGTAAGTTGTGTTTGAATAAGGGCGTAGTATACAGATTTCAAGTGCTCTATGTCAAGAAATTCTCTGAGGAGTTTGAATCTACCGAGAAATCCTCTAATTTTTTTCCCCAGATTGGACATTTGTAAGTCCCATCGCAAATGTCTATCAATAATTATCCCCAGATATTTGACAGATTCTGCTTCTGGTATTGATGTATTTTGATCAATTTTCAAATTTCCCAATTGTGGTAAGTTGCTAACATATGATGTGAACGGAAGATATTGAGTTTTTTCTATATTTAGAGTCAATTTGATTAGTTGAAACCAGGATTTAATTGTTTTGAAATCTAATTCTACTTCTTGTTTCAACGCCATCCATGTATCTGATTGATAGAATATTGCGGTGTCATCCGCAAAGCTTAGAGTAGCTCCCTTCAGGTTCATAGTTAGTAAGCTATTTATATATATAGTGAACAGAACTGGTCCAAGAACTGTTCCTTGAGGTACTCCGTAAGATACTTTCCTCGGTTGACTGATGACACCGTCTATATCGACGTGTTGTTGACGATCCGACAGGTAGTTTTCTAAAAGTTGATATGTTTGTCCTCTTATACCATATATCTTAAATTTTTTCAACAAGGTTTCATGGCAAACCGTATCGAAAGCTTTAGAGAGGTCGATGAAAACACATAATGCGGGTTTATTGGAGTCAATTGCGTTATATATCAATTTTGTCAGAGATCTAATTGCATCGTCGGTTGACCTTCCCTCCCTAAAGCCATACTGATTTTCAGAAAAAACCTGATGCTTATCGAAAAACTTGACTAGTCGGATTTTAATGATTTTTTCAAATACCTTGGCAAGAGTTGAAATTAAAGATATTGGTCGATAGTTTCCTACTCTGGTTTTTTCTCCACTTTTGAAAAGAGGTTTGATCAATCCTATCTTCATGGATTTCGGAAAATATCCATGTTCAATGCACTTATTGATTATATAACATAGCGGCGGAGCAATGAATTCTGATATTGGTTTGAGGGTATCTGCCCTGATTTTGTCTATTCCAGGTGCTTTATTGCATTTTAGATTATTTATAATAGAAGTTACTTCAACGTCAGTAGTTGGAAATAAATATATCGTGTTTTCCAGCGTGGGAATATTTTCAGTAAAACCGATTGGTGTATCAATGTTATCAGCGAGTTTTTTTACCAAGTCACTGAAATATTTGTTGAATTCTTCAGCTATTTGGTTTTTGTCAGTAATTGTGTTGGTTTCTGTTTGTATCATTTTTATTTTCGTTTCGGTTTTTGACTTGTTACAAATCTTATTCACGCATTTCCATAAACTTTTCGCTGAGTTTTTATTACTATCTACAGTTTTCCTGAAATAATCTCTTTTCGACTTCTGGATAAGATGATTTAATCTATTTTTATAGTTTTTATATTCATTAATCAAAATATTGTTGGGTTCTCTTTGAATTCTTGAATATAACTCATATTTTCTATTTACGGACTTTAAAAGTCCTGACGTGATCCAAGGTTTTTTGCTCCTGTATTTATTCGATGTTTTAATTATTTTTGTGTTATTATCGATGTGATAGTTCAGTCTGTTAATGAATGTTTCCATCATTTGATCAATATCGTTCAGCGTGTTGACATTTTCCCAGGTTTCACTGCTGATATCATTTTTCAAATTTATATAATCAATGATGGTCCTATAATTCTTATGTGATTCGCTTTGGAGTTGTTCTCTAGGATTATCCAGTTTAATCACTAGAATGATAGGATCATGATCGGTTAAATCGTTATTTATAATATAAGAATAAACTTCTTCAAAGTACTTACCACTGTTTTTAACATAAAAGTGATCAATCATGATACATCATGGCATGAACAGAGACAACTATGGGAAGAAGATCAACTTTAGCCACTTTAGCAATACAAACGAAAAGGCCTAATATAACAATAGATTAATTCATGAATCATCAAAAAGTATACGCCAACAATCCTTAACGCCTAACACGGATGAATGTATGAAATCGCGAATGGTGGGGATAATAATTCTGCGGAATTCATTTTATTTATTCATCTATTTATTGAACAAATAACTTCCAGGCAGAATTGGCTCTGGTTTAAGGAACTACATAATTATATACCTATAGGTAAACATTTCATCATTCAAAATACAGGGTGTTTCATAATTGAATGCTGATCTTTGAGGGCGATAATCCTTGGATGATTTCAAAGGGAAAAGTTCATATCAACATATGTCCTAAACTAAACCTCTTAGTTATTGAGCTACAGGGTGATGAAATTTCAAAAAAAAATAGTTTTTCTTCATAATTTGTTATGAGATATTGTTATGATATTTCGTATACACCTTTTTATAATTGAGGAGCATCATTTTGCGTGAAAAATATTTGAAAATTCTCACCAGTGGCGTCCGCACGGGGTTTGAACTGACAATTTTTGAAGAAAAAAATAGTACGCCACGGATTTTTCTGAGAACCAGATTTTTTTTCCAATTCTTATTCATTTTGGAGCAAATTTGGTTCCTAGACTTACTTTCATACAACGTACCGTTTTCGCGTAAAAAAATGAAAACCAAAGAATTGTGTTCCTTCAGTTCTTGGATATTGTTTTTGGTAATTCAGTAGACACCCACTATAAGGGGAAACACATTTTGTTTTGGGACGAAAATCAAACTTTTACTTTTACCAGAGATGTCCTCGTAGACCTGATATTGAATGTTTTGTATAAAAAACGCTGTACGCTTCTGATTTCAACACCCTGTAGCTCAAAAACAGAGGTTCAGGACATATGTTGATATGAACTTCTCTCTTTAAAATCATCCAAGGATTATCGCCCTTTAGGATCAGCATTCAATTATGAAACACCCTGTACATATCAACAACTATAAATTGTGAAAAGTACCAGGTGTCGATAAAGAACTCAATATCATAAAACAGATTGTGAAATACCCGCTTATAAATTAATTCTTCTTTATTATTATTCCCAAGAAACATACATGTTTATAGCAGGGAAAATTATGAAAGAGCAACTAAAAAAAAAAAAAAAAAATTAGATAATCAGATAATCATTTTTAAATCATATACATAATACATATAATGTTGTTTCTTCTAGAGACTGTTGAATATATTATTTGAAAAAGAGTTGGTTGATTTCCTATTGATTGTCCTATTTTCAAGATATGCATTCGAAACATTTCTCACAGTGCCTCTGAGTCCCATTGTTTCCTAGTTTTCTAAAAGTGTTGTATGTATGTATGTATGTATGCATGTATGTGTGTGGGCGGTCCGGGACCTGACGCACTTAGACCTCCCTTTTCGGGCCCATTGTGCACCCACATTCCTGGGATCGCTAGTCAGCCATGAAGAAGGCCGATCTCGCGAGCAAAAGAGACCAACTTTCTAGGCCAAATCTTCTTAACATCCTCTGGGTCCAGGATACTGCTCCCAAAATGGATATCCCTTGCTGCCACTACTGCTGGGCATTCAGTGAGGATGTGAGTAGAAGTCTCTTCATCCTCTAGACACCATCTGCATTCAGGATCCTCCACAATCCCGATCGTGCTGAGATGTTTGTTCAGGTGGCAGTGCCCTGTCAGAAGGCCCACCACCAGTTTCAGCTCCTTCCTATTCAAAGCCAAGAGGGCATTGGTCTGTCTTCGTGACGGGTTGCCTATATGGAGTTTGTACTGCCTCTTTCCAGGAGCATCTCTCCAGCTATCCTAAAACCTTTCCGTCAGGATGGTCGATCCAGGATCGAGTGACCCCTAAGATTGGCTCTGGACCAGTCACTGAACCCTTCGCCCCCTTTCTGGCCAGGCCATCGGTCATTTCGTTACCTGGTACCCCTGAGTGCCCAGGGACCCACAAAAGACATACTTTGTTCGTTGCTGACAGCCTTTGTAGGCTATCTATGCACTCTGACACCAAGGCGGAGGTGAGCGTCTTGATCGCCGCCTAGCTGTCAGTGCATATAGTGATTTGCTGGCTGTGATAGCCTCCTTCAGCCTGAAAAATCGTGGCATGTTTCCCAAGAAGATAGTAATGATTTGCCCTTGGGGACTGCCCATAGACCCCAGCACCTGCGCATTCTTCCATCCTGGAGCCATCTGGTATACCAGATGATGCCCTTGGTGGGTATTATGCAGTGCTCATTCTGTTCCCAGTCTATCCTAGCAGGAATTTTAACTTGGGGCATTTTCCTGAATCGAATGATCGGTGTTATGCTGTCCCTTTTCATACTGAGTGAGGGGTAGTCGTCTGTAATTTGCTTCCAGATGCGAGAATGTCCGTATGTTCCTTCGCTCCTCCACTGGTAACAAGTGTTGTATGATCAACTATGTCAAAAGCCTTTGTCTCACCTTCAGATGGTGATAAACCTAAAATCACAAGACTAAGAGATTCTAATGAAATTTCGTGAATCGCATTTAATTGCTTTTGATTTTATTTCGAAGGGTCACGCGTCTACGCCGACGATGGTCGCGAAGGGTATACCGGACGGACTGTTGAACGACCTGAAGAACGTCCAAAAGGAAAAGGATAGGATAAGCAAGTACGACAACGTGCCTGACGATGAGGGGGTGCGAGAGAAGACTGACGAACACACCAAACTATGATGAGGGTAATCTTGATTTTATGTTTTACAATTGGAGTACTCACTTTTTTGTATACGGACTTTCTTTATTTGAATTCCAATGTGACCAATAATCACAAAACAAGAAACGAATGTGAACTATTGAAAGAAATATCGGAGACTGGAACCTTTGGCACGATAATACACTACACTGTTTTACCACTAATCAAACCGATTTTTCAAACGCCTCGACACGTGTTTCGCTAACTATGTTAGCATCTTCAGGAGAAGATTAAAACTGAATATCCAATTCTAGTGTGCTGCTTATATACTAGGTATATGTTCACCCAACCGTGAAAAATACTAACCGTCAAGTTAATGTATGTATTGATGAACGCTTTCAAAACCTAAGTCTTTGAAAACCTTGACGCCAGCCACTTTATAAACAACACTTCTTTCAGCATTGGATCTTTCTTTGCTCAGGGAGAATGAAATTAATCCATGTACTAGAAAATTTAAACTTGCCATTTTGTGCTGAAAACAGTGATTTGAGTCATTAGGTATGTATCTAAATGTGTTAGTTTCTTTTCTAAAAACATCATGTTTTTAGAAAAGAAACACACTTCGAAATTCTACGACTTTTCAAGTGGATAAAAATAATTCGAGAAGAATCCGAATCCCGTTCAATCCCAAGTATAGGAAGGGACTTGATTAGGTCTTCAAAGACTTAGGGCCGGTTGCATAAAGAAAAATTAATCATACAATCAACTGAGCCACAATAACTTTGATGTTATGTCAAATGTCATTTGCGTTGCATAAACAATCTGATGTTATAATAATCATTACATTTACTAATGACGAGAAGGGCGTGGCAACAGCGCTAAATCTGTCTGCTCCTTGCGTTCCGCGCATAGTTGATACGCATTTTAGGTTAGGTTTATTTGTTTGATTAACATTCAGATTCACAGAAGTTACAGAAAACCTGAATCGGGTATTGAAATCATTGCCATCATACATTTTGAACGGATTGTTTCTATTTCGAAAGGTTCTTGACTTGGAAATCAGTAGTTCTTCTTCAGATAGTGAAGACAGTGATGAGATAGACATTTTCTGTAAAACCTATAATAGTCATTTACTTACATTATTGTGTTCATTTACCTACTCTACCTTTTGGAAATGAAACAAGAACTAAGAAGAAGGAAAATTCTGCGAAATATTTTAAATAATTTGGCAGAATTCTCACAAGTCATTTGTTGGTTGTCACTTTAATCAGTGGTCGAGCACTGATTAAGTTTATGCCATGAATAAGTCGATTTGATGTGACATCTAAAGTTGATTGGCCTTTGTGCAACCGATTTTATAGTTAAATAGTCATTATTATAAGTTAATCAGATGATTAAGTAACCATGGCATTAAGTACATGATGGGCCTTTCATGCAATCGAATTCCATTTATAACGTCGCATCAAATATTTGAAGTGACATCAAATAATTGATGAGCTTTTATGCAACCGGCCCTTAGGTTTTGAAAGCGTTAATCAGTCTCGGTCAAAATTAGGCAATTTATTAGGCAATCCGAAAGATAATGTGGACACACTTGAAAAGTCGGGAATATACGAAATAAGTTGAAATGATTGTGGTAAAACATAATATAGGCCAAACCAGGCGACCCATTGAAACAAGTTCAAAAAACACATAGCACATTTAAAATATGGCAGGTCAGATGAATCTTGTGTAGCCGAACATATTTTCTATAACAATAATAATACACATATTACTAACCTCAAATTAGTTAAGCAAGTTAATAATATTATAAAATCAGACGCATATGAGAGCTCAGAGATATTGGAGAATAGTAATAGAGTAATGAATAAGGATAATGGACCTATTCCATATAGCCCTCTATATAGTTTAGTTAATATAAAAATTAAGATTAACATGTGAGCTCAACTACGACATACATTAACTTGACGGTTATGATATTTAGTTTCAATCTTCTCCTGAAGATGCTAACATAGTTAGCGAAACACTTGTCGAGGCGTTCAAAAAATCGGTTTGGTTAGTGGTAAAACATTGCTTTGAAAAGAAAGTAAACAGATCGCTTTGACAGCTTTCATAAACTCCGATAGGTGGCGTATGCTTATTTTCTATCTCGATTTCAAATATAACATTTTTTCCTGAATGCAAATATTGGCAACTTCGGAACTTTTTCTCCTGAATGTTTGGAATCGATCCTGAATGTTTGGACTCGAGTGTCTAAAAGATCTGACATTTAGCGTTTTTAAGAGAGTGTCACCACTGACAGTCTCGAATTGTTATCATTTCTGGATGAGAAGCATCAGTATAGTAGTAACATAACATTAATGTATCAATTTTTTGATGCAATATGCTGTTATACTTCCAAAAACTACCATATTAAAACCCTTAGGGCTTCGCGAGACCAAGAGTCCAGTCTTGGTCTTGATACATGACCAAGACCAAGACTTAATAAATCTTCCCAAGACCAAGATCAAGACTTGACTTTCGAGACCAAGAGTTTTGTTCTTGTTCTTGAAAGAAACATAATGAACTTAAATCTACGGAAAATGTAAAGGCATTTTATTTCAGTTATTTATTCGTCATATGGTAGGTTTTTAATTTTTGTTAACTCAAAATCCGAAATGCATTTTTTGAATTTAGTGTTGCAGTTTCAAAGTTTACAACAGATAGGTGTATGTTGTAAGGTCACAGTGGTCCATACCTACTCCTATTGAATATAGAAACAAATTTAATACAAAATTTATTTGGATTGATTTTGAATTTTTTTTAAATATTTTGATATTGCGTTGTCAGTTCCGCCGTCGGCCTGTTTGCTGTTTGGGTCTCATTTAATGTTCATTTAAGGTTTCTTAAAAAATATATTCTTATGGTAAAAGCAGAAATTTATTTCGTTTACTTTATACGCACAAATTGACAATTTTAAAGACTGAGAAATACGTAATACCTATTATATGCATATGAACTGTTGGATATTTGAATTGAATAATTCAAATTCCTAGACGCATTTTGATCCAAGACCAAGACTATCAAGACGAAGACTAAGACTGAGCCAGTCTCGTCTTGGTCTTAAAACATCAAGACCAACAACCAGACCAAGACTACTTTTATTTTTCGAGTCCAATACCAAGACTGGTCAGTCTTGGTCTAGCGAAGCCCTAAATACCCGACAATTTCGTGGAAAGTTCAAACATAGCGTTCGGGGACAAACTCGTCTATCTAGTACTGACGTCATAATACCTATTCCTTTGATGCAAGCTGTTTTATTTGTAGGAAATATCGTCTCTTCTATCTTTATTATTATTCCCAAGAAACATACATGTTTATAGCAGGGAAAATTATGAAAGAGTAACTAAAAAAAAAAAAAAAAATAGATAATTAGATAATCAGATAATCATTTTTAAATCATATACATAATATATATAATGTTGTTTTTTCTAGAGACTGTTAAATATAATTTCTTGAATTGATTCAGGATGACATGAAGAGAATCAAAGACATAAGTATTTTTTCAGTTCTTTTTTGAATTTTTCAACACTTAATTTTTTCTTTAGTCTGGCAGGTAATTCATTATAGAGAATTGTTCCATTGTATAAAATAGATCTTTTACCCATATCTGATTTAATTTTGATGAGAGTTAACATATCTTTTTGTCTGGTTATGTGTTCGTGTTTATGACTATTGACTTCAAAATTCAGATTTGAATGTTTATAATTATATTTGACGGAATGGATAAAATTCAATATTTTGAATTTGTAAATGGAGTTTATATCTAACAATTGCCTAGGTTTATAAAGATTTCTTGTTGGTTCCAAGTAATCTAGTTTGTATATACATTTAATAACTTTGTTTTGAAGGATTTTGATTGGCTTCATGATTGTTAATCTAGCAGTACCCCAAACTGAAATCAAGTATTGTAATTTTGAATAAACCAAGGAAAAATATATACATTTCAAGTATTTCAAAGTGATTTGGTGTCTGATCCTGTAGAGTACTCCGATTACTGGAGATATTTTCTTTCTGATCGATTCAATATGTTTGGACCATGACAAATGTTCATCAAGGAATATCCCAAGGAATTTGATGGCTGTGGAATATTTGATGATTTCATTATTAAATTTGATATCAAATTTCAGTTCACTTGAGAGGCGTCGTTTAGAGATATACATGAATGCTGATTTGCTGTAATTTATACTCAATTTATTATAGGACAACCATGAAGATAAAATAATCAAGTCACTTTCAATTGCATTTCTGATTTGTTGGATTGAGTCTGCGGAATAAATCAATGTAGTGTCATCAGCGAACATGTAAACTTTTCCTTTCAATTTGATGTTGACAATCGAGTTGATATATATCAAAAATAAAACAGGGCCTAAGATTGACCCTTGTGGTACTCCACATATAATTTCATTAGCTGTACTCGAAACTGTTCCTTGATAAACAAATTGCTTTCTACCACTCAAATAATTTTGAAACCATTTATGAACTATACCTCTCATGCCAAGTTGGTATAACAAATTGAGGAGAATTTCATGATTCACAGTATCAAATGCCTTGCGAAGATCTATTGACAGAAGTCCACACATCTTATTAGCATCTAGTTGCATTTGAAATTCTGTCACAACATCCAAAACAGCTGACTCTGTGTCACAAGATTTGCGAAAGCCATATTGATGGTTGTAAAGATATTCTGTTGCCTCTAAATAATCATGCAGTCTGTTATTCATTGTTTTTTCCATTATTTTTGAAATGATTGGTAGTAAGGAAATAGGTCTATAATTCTCCATATCATCCTTTGATCCACTTTTATAAATTGGTTTAACTTTCGCTATTTTCATTTTTTCAGGTATAATCCCTGATAAAAAAGATAAATTTATCAATTTTGAAATGATCGATGATATTTCATATTTAACAGTCTTTACAATGCTTACACTAATGTTATCAAAACCTGGAGATTTTCTTGAATTTAAGGAGTTTATGATATCTTCAATTTCTTCATCATCTG